AAAAAAAAAAAAAAGTTACGATGTATGTCCAACCAGTAACCACCTAACTTCAATGTAGTATACAGAAAACATCTGTATGGCTAGAGCAATGTAGATTATTTTTTTTTTAAGTTTATTTATTTAAGTAATCTGTACACCCAGCGTGGGGCTCGAACTCAGAACCCAGAATCAAGAGTCACACCCCTTCTGACTGAGCCACCCAGGCACTCCTAGAGCAATGTATTTAATTTGAAATATACTTGTTCAGTTTAAAGTTAATATACCACTGATGAATCACTGAACTCTACCTCTGAAACTAATAATATATTATATGTTAATTAATTGAATTTAAATAAAATAAAATTAAAAAAATAATAAACCAAGTCATATTCCAGTTGTCCTAAATAACGTATTTGTTATTATATACATAAAATACCCAAGGGAACTAATTTTATCTTACTTTTAATATTATAATATGCCTTCATATTAATTACATGGTGATAATCACCTTTTAGAATGGAAGATGGAAAAAATATATCCTTCATAATGGCAACCAAAACTTTAAAATGTCTTGAAATAAGCCTAACAATATAGGTGCAAAAACTATGTGAAGAAAACTATAAATGTTCTTGAAGGATATAAAGCAAGAGTTGAATAAACAAAAGTGATAGTATGTTTGTAGATGGGAAGGCATTAAATAAAAATTTTACTTCTTCCCAAAATAATATATAAATGTATTATCATTCCAGTGATAATCTAAGAGAGAGATGCACTTTTTAAAAACTGGACATAGTCATTTTAAATTTAGTGCTGAAAAGCTTTACCGTAATTTTAATGGAGAGAATACAGCTTAGTGGTTAAGAGAATTGGGTCTAGTCCTAAATCTGTTATTTAAATATCATTTCAAGCATTTACTAGCTACATAATCCTAGACAATTTACTTAAATTTTCTAAATCTTCGTTTTATTGGCAGTAAGATGAAGGCAATAATAGTATTGACTTTGTAGAATTAAAAACACATAGGGATCACTAAGGGTTCTTATTGGTATTTATGGTGGTTATTACTAATATTATTATTATCAAATATGTTAGAGTTGCTACAGAATGTAGGGGGAAGGGAGAATGGCAAAGGGAGATATGAAAACTTCTGTAAGTATTCTATGATCAAGCTAATATGACATTAATGTGGGAATCAACATAGATCAGTGGAACAAACTAAGAACAGGTCCAGTTAGATATGAATTCTTAATATGATAAGATAGGATATTTTCATTTAATGGGAAAAGGATATTGATTTGCCATGTTTGACTTTCCATCTAGAAAAAAGATTAAAGTATACCTTTATTGGAGAATAAACTCCAGGTGGCATAAAGATATAAATATGAAAACTAAAATTTTTAAATGAAATACTGGAAAAAATTTAGGAGAGTTGTTTATAATTTCAGGGTTGGAAAGACCTTTCCAAGCAAGATAGGCTCTCCAGAAGTCAGATACAAAGTTCAAAGACCAAAAACAAAGAAACCAAAAAGGAGACTGGGAGAAAATAAATATCAGTGTAGGACTTTTGGAAGCAAATAACAGAAAATCCCATTCAGAATGACTTAAACTTGAAGGAGGTTCTTAACACACTTTGCAAGAAAGAAGTCTAGGGGCAAAATGGTTCTGCAGCATTAGTTAGTTCAGTAGTTCAGACTCCTTTCTGTTTTTCTCTTCTCTCCTCATTGTGTTGGCTTCTGTCATCAAGTTTATCTCTTCATTGTGCCCTTTCTTCTTCTCAATATTTGAAAATACCTCACAGTAAAAGATTTGATAATAGCAAACCAAGTCAGAATAAAATTATCCCAAGTTATACATTTGTTTCCCGTTTTTCCTTAGAGAAAGAAAAAAGTTGATTCAGGAAGTGTTATAATAATGGAAAACAGGAACAAAAACATGATAACTGCAGTCAAACATTTGTGATGTATGTGGGCCACTGCATTTGTAAGGAAGACTAGACAAGAATAGGGAAGGTCAGATTCTTGATAATTTAGACAAAGTCAATCAATTACTGTATAAGAAAGTATCATTAACTTACTCTTGGGAGTCCCTTAATAAGACTTAATTACTCCCTCTATATGTTTAAAATCCTATAGATTATTTACATAGAAATAATACCTTGCTAAAGAAGGACTGAATATTTAGCCAGATCAAATTTAAGAAAAAAACCTTGAGTTTCATCACAAGCTGTTAAAGCTATTATTTTGTACTAGGTGACACCCCGTTTAACATCGACCATATTGTTAATAGTTATGGGATTTTATTGAATTAATGAGACTGTTATCATGTAGTAGAATGTCTTGCTGAGTTAATTGAAACTGCAGAGATTATATAAATGGTATTAATGAACTTTGACTGCCTGATGCCTCAGCTTTAATAAAGACTGCTTGGTGGGCTAAATGAACACAGGCAGATAAAAGAACAGGTTCAATTTTGTGAGCCTACAGGCTGTTGATGAAGAAAACTTCGTTACCTTTATTTTCAACTGGCATGCGTTTGGAGTGCAGTGACTACTAACGATCCAGCAGGGATAAAGGCTTTAAGCAAGCAGAAATGCTGATGGTATAGATGCAAGCAAAATACACATTTTGGGAACCAATAAGTATACTAGCAATCTATTATGTTTTATTTTGCTTTGTCGTATTTACAGCATATTGAATTTATGATCATTGTAATAGTTCTCCTTAAAAGATGTTTGTACACTTGCCACTTGTAATTATTAGTCAGGTTTTACTAGTCTAGAATTAAGAGTAAAACTAACAGTCTCTTACAAGTCTGAAAAAATATCTCTAGTTTAGTTGGAAGTCAACAATGAATTTGTAAAAGTTTGTCTTAATAATATTCAGGGGACTCTTAATTTCCATTACACAAAGAGCACCCTTATTTATTGGTTTGAAATATGATTTGTTATTCTATGTCATTTTTCATATTGTAGTTCAACATTTACCAATACATTGCTGTATGGAGAGGTAGATATTTAATCAGTCATTGAGTACCTTCTATGTGCTGAGCCTGTAGTAGGAGCTGGATTTTTGTATCAACACATAGACATCACTTATCACAGTTTCTAATTGTATAGTCACTTCCCTGCTCATTTTATTATTGTGTGTCCTGCTGTCTAGACTGCAAGCTCCATAATGGTAAGAAACTTGCCCACTTCATTCACTTTTGTGTTCTCAACATTATCATAGATAGTTAATAAGTTTTGACATATGAACTTGAAGATGAACTTTTCATGAGCAAATGGAGAATCTGGAGAGAATAGTATCGCAGAAACTAGAGGGAAGAGAAAATTTAAAGAAGGTGGGAAGGTGCATTTAGGCAAGAACTCATTCTTATTAAACCGGCCATTAGTTAGAAAATACCTTGAGGGAGAAAAGACCCAATCAGAAGATCACCACCACCATCAGCAACAACAAAAACCTAGTAAAAAACCTAACAGTTTGCAAACTTTTGGGTTGGAAAATCTTGTTCTTTAAAATATCTTCTTCAAGTTAATTTTAATGCAATGCCAGTAAAATTGCAATATTTTGTTTAGCATTTTATTTAAATGATACTGAAGTTTACCTTCTAATTAAATTAGAACAGGCAAGATAACTTTGAGAAAAAGAAAAGAAAATATGGCAGAATAGAATGTTTTACAGCTCAAGTCATTAAAATAGTAAAGTTCTTGTTAAGAATGTACAAACCAATGGAATACTGGCAAAAGCCGAGAAAAAACGAGCACTAATGATTCAGTGTATGGTAAAGACAGCATCTCAAAACTCTTGGGAGAAGATGGGTTATTCAATAATTAGTTGAACTCTTTTGCAGAAAAAAATACAGATTTATTCTTCAGGACAAAACTAAATACCCAATTGGTAAAGAATTCAAGCTGTAATAAAGAAAAGTATGTACTCATCTAATCTCCATATAAGGAAAGCCTTTTCAGGCATGAAAACAAAACAAGAAGCCATGAAGGATGATGTATTGATTTGATAGTTTTAAAGTATAGAGATTCACGATGACATAAGATATCACAATTAAAAGACAAATGATAGGGGCTCCTGGGTGACTCAGTTGGTTGAGCATCTGCCTTCGGCTCAGGTCATGATCCCAGGGTCCTGGGATCGAGTTCCACATTGGGCTCCCTGCTCAGCGGGGAGGCTGCTTCTCCCTCTGCTGCTCCCCTGCTTGTGCTCTCTCTCTCTGTCAAATAAATAAAATATTTTTTAAAAAAAGACAAATGATAAACGTGGGAAAGTGTAACAAAAATGACTACAGGTTAATATCCTGAATTGGTGAAGAACTATAACAAATTATCAGGAAAAAGGAAACACTTCATTAGGAGAAAATGGGCAATTCATTGAATAATAATGACCAATAAAATTTTTGTGTCAGTCTCACTAGCATTTAAATAGGGTAAAACAACCATTTGACTATGAAGTTTTATAAGATTTTTTTTTAGATTTTATTTATTTATTTGACAGAGACAGAGAGGGAATACGGTTAATGACTGAGCCACCCAGGCACCCCAAAGTTTTATAGGGTTTAAAAACAAAACACTACAAGTTAAGATGTGTGAAGTGACAATTTTTATGCCCTAAAGTGAGGGAATTCTTTCTGAAGGGTAGCTTAATTGTATATATCAGGAACATTAACAAATTTCTTTACTCATTCACCCAGAAATTCTACTTCTAGGGACTTTATCCTAAGGAAATCACAGAAACAGGCAAAAAGATTACAAGATATCTACCATAGTTTTTAATTTCTCTTTCTTTCTTTTGGTCAGTCTGTCCATCCTTCCATTTTTTCCTTCCTTTCTCCTTGTCTTTTTTTTTTTCTTTTCTGTAGCTACAGTAATTCTTACATTAAGTAGCTATTACTTTGATGATTAAATTATGGCACGTGGTTTTTGGAATAATTTGAGATTATTCCAGGAGAATAAACACCTCATATGATTTTAAAGCATACTTAGCACTTAATTCCATTCTTTCTGTGTCTATACCATGTTCCTCTAAGGGAAAGTCAAATAGTTGTCTCAAGGTTTGTTTAGTAAGAAAATGGTTACTTAAAAAGATTGAAGCAGTGTGTGGTAATTTGTCTTAACCACCAGAAAGTTGTCGGTGTGTCATAAATTATTTTGTACAAATGTCAGTAAGTCCTAATTCAAGTCTAGTGATAACTTATAAATGAACTCTGATAGAGTTTACTTTCATATTATTTCGTGATGATCACTAGCTTTTAAGAATGCCATGGTACTTCTAGAATGTACAGAGGGTTGTGTGACTGCCCTTCCCATCATGGGAAGTCTCTACTTCCGCCGATGAAACTCTCTTTTCTTTGCTTCCATATTTTATTTTTATTTCCTATTAAGGTGGTGTTTTGTCTTATTTTTTTTTATAAAAGATCATCCATAGTTATTAAGGAAAGGGAAAATTATAGTTTACTTTAAGAGGCAGAAAAGATTGTAATCTATATTTAACTTACTAAAACATGTTTTCGGATGCTTAAGGGGGAAAAATCTTATAGTTAACAAGGCAAATTACTAATGTGGAATACCTTATTCTCCACAATAATGAATAAATAATGAATTTTTATACTATCCTTTTAGAGACACCTTAGTAACCAATATACTTTTTTGTTTCTGTGCTTATTCATGTAATCCACAGGTGAGCACCAATATAAGGAAAAAGCAAATACAATTGGTGAATTCACTAAATAAATTAAACAGTAACCTTATAGTTGAAGTAGACAGGAAAAGAAATTATGGTAGTTTTCAGATTAAACATGTTGAAAATCATACTTTGAAAACTTTGTTTGCTGTTATACCTGCTAAAGATTGTTTCTTTTATTATCCAACATTTCCAGCTAGCTGACTTCAGCTCTTCCTAAATCTACAGACATCCTAATTTTGAGCCATTATATAATGAAAACATTGGATGTAATTTCCTTAGGTCTACAGTTCTTAGTTGCCCTTCTTACTGCAGATCTTTACACTGCAGCTCATGATTATAATTTGCATAAATGAAATTCATATTTATGAGTACAGATCGTGAAGCAACTGACAGGTGCAAGGTTGTCTACCATGCCAATTTATTGTTTGTTGTGTCATTTAAAAGAGAACTGCTCTCCATGTTTTAAAGAAGAATTTGTGCTATGGTTGAATTGGAATCAAATTCTAAAAGTAAATAAAATCTCATTTTGTAGCTTTTCATTTTATGCATTTCAATGAAATATGTAAATGGTGGTGGTGAGGATCAGTTGAAGAAGCATTTAACTAAGCCTGTTCTGTCCACTGGTGGACCCTCAACATCCTCCCCCTCTAATTTCTCTTGCTGTTATGTTTCAGGGAATGCACGAGCTGTTAGCGCCTATAGTCTTTATCCTCCACTGTGACCACCAAGCTTTTCTTCATGCCAGTGAGTCTGCCCAACCAAGGCAAGTTTTTATTTGAACTCCTTGTGTTTTTTCAGCCTTGCTGTAATCATTTTAACCTCAGAATCTTTTACATTGAAGGTGCTTTTGTAAGTTGTAAATATTTGGTTGTGTTTCATGTGGCTGATGGTTAATTCTACTTAATAGTTGTTGTCCTGGTTCAGCTATGGGACAAATTTGGAATCATAAATGTCTTTGCACATCTTAGATCTGTGCCAAAGGAAGATATATAACTAATGGATCAAGTAGAGCAAATTTTTGTTATGATGGCAAAGTGCTAATGATTGGTAATATTCATACATACACTCCTCTAATGACCCATTCTTTCACTATAGGCTGCATGAGAACCTTGTCTGTGAGATCCTTTCTCCCCACCAGGTTTCACTGAGTTCAGGTCATAAATAGGAGACCAGTAGCCCAAAGGACCCCAGTCTGTAAATAAACAAAAATGACTTGCCATGTTTTTGAGATACATTAATTTATTCTTCACAGCAAGTAACTTTAGTATTTTCTAGCTTCTTTTGAATTTCTCTAATTATACTGAGTTTGTGCATCTGACTAGAGTAACCATATCTTAATTACCTTTTCTTCAGTTATTCTAAAGTATGGTAAGGATGAAGTTAGTCTTGGGATCCTGTTGTCATACCAGTTTTATCTTTTTAAAAGCATGTGTATACAGTATACTTCACAGGAAAGTATAGATGATTGAAAATTGCTTTTAAATAAGTTGGACATGCTGTTTTAGCAGTTTCAAGCCATTGAAGGTAAAAGCAACACTAAAATAGATTTGAAAGAGGTACTGTCACTAATTAATGGATGTTAAAATATAATAAAAACAGAAACCATTGAAAGAAAATAATGTTCTGATAGGATATATTTGATAGAATATATTTGACTCGTATGTTTTTTGTTTTTTTTTTGTAAGTGTTTTGTTTTGTTTTGTTTTGGAAAACAAGTGATAGATTGTGGAGTAATCAATTTATTCTAGATCAGGCACATTCAAGGAATATATTGTTACATTTTGTAGTTGTTATTTGGAGTAATTGGGTAGTTACTTCATTCTGGTATAGACAAGGCACCTAATTTGATTTTGATCTTTATAGAAAGAAAGGATTTCATTTGTTAATGGAATTGCTTTTTTTATTTAGAAAGGATGATTTTTTTTTAATTTGCACACTATATGAAATTTGGCTTATGAGTATAGAATAAGGCAACTTCTGCATCCCCTTCAACTAAAAAGTTATATGTATTGCTTTTTTAAGTGAGGAAATGAAAACTCTCTTGAACCCCGAGTATCTGGAACATGATGCCTAGTAAGTACAAAAATTCTATTATTTTAATTTTTTATGCCATTTCTACTTCAATGAGGGTTTAACATTAGCACTGTATTATTTTTCTAATTTTTAGTGCGATGTTCTCACAACTTATGGAAACTGCTGAACCTTGGTTTTCTACTTTTGAGCATGATGGTCAAAAGGCAAGTGTTATAGTACAAATCTTTTCAATATATTTGAGGGAACAAATGATTTCAGTAAGTAGCAACGTCTAATCAGGGATTCAAAGCCAATATTATTACTGTAAAAAAAAATTTAAAAATCTATGGAATAAGATTGAATTGGGGATCTAAACCATATTGCTAATAATATTGGCAGAAATATAAAGGTAAAATTAAAAATTTCATGTAAATAGAAATTTTATTTTATATGTATATTATCCATGCAATAGAACTTCTTACTTGAAAAATTACTATAAATTTTGAATGACAAGTACATTTATCTGCTTGATCTATTGTTACACAAGTGAGCTGATAGACATTTTATTACTGAAGCGCCTAGACAAACTGTGTGAAATAGGCTGTCTTATATTTACTAATACATCACTGTTGATTTACACATTTAGCTTCAATACCATCATTTATCATTTACTCTCTTTTATTCTTTTTAACTATAATTTTTATTATGTGTTATAACCGATATACCATAACATTCACCTTTAAATTGTACAATTTAGGGGCACCTGGGTGGCTCACTCATTAAACGTCTGCCTTTGGTTCTGGTCGTGATCCCGGGATCCTGGGATCGAGCCCTGCATCAGACTCCCTGCTCGGCAGGAAGCCTGCTTCTCCCTCTCCCACTCCCCCTGCTTGTGTTCCTTCTCTCACTGTGTCTTTCTCTGTCAAATAAATAAATAAAATCTTTTTAAAAAAATAAGTAAAAAATAAAGGGTACAATTTAGTAGTTTTTAGTATATTCACAAGACTGTGCGAATGTCCCTGTTATCTGATTTGAAAATATTTCCATCACCCCAAAAGGAAATCCCATAGCCATTAGCAGTCACTCTGCATTCCCTCCATTTCCCAGAGTCTCTGGCATCACTAATGTACTTCCACTTTCTATGAACTTGCCTATTCTGGACATTTCATGTAAAATGGAACCATTTAATATATGGCCTCTGTGATTGACTCCTTTCACTTAGCATAACGTTTTTAGTGTTCATTCCTGTTGTAGCATGCATCAGTACTTCACTCCTTTTCATGGCCAAATAATATTTCACCATGTGGATATACTACATTTTGTTTATCCATACATCAGTTGATGGACATTTGGCTTCTTTCACTTTTTGGTTATTAAGAATAATGAGGCTGTGAACATTTGTGTACAAATTTTGTGTCTACATATGTTTTCAATGCTCTTGGCATTTCTCTAGGATTAGAATTGCTGAGTTAACTGACATTTTAAACAAACATATATGCTAACTTAGAGATCATTATGGTGTTTTCATTGTTATTACACAATATTAGAAAAATTGCCAATTATTCTGGCAAGGGATGTTATTAAGAGTTTTTGGTATATTTTTTCTATATGATTAATTTATTTTATATTGATATAATTGATTGCATTCTGGTCAGAAACCATATATTATTCTGTCACTTTATTCCATCTCTTAAAAAAATGAAATGGATAACTAATGCTTTTTATGCCTTTGGTCTAGATCAGGGCAGACTACTGCCTACAGGCCAATTTGGCCTGCCATCTGTTTTTATACAGCTTGGGAGTTAAACCTGGCTTTTACATTATTAAATGGCTGAAAAACTATCAAAAGAAGAATATTTTGTGGCATATGAAAATTATATGGAATTCAGATTTCCATGTTCATAAAAAAAGTTTTATTGGGAAATAGCCATGTCTATTTGTTTCCTTATTGTCTATCACTGCTTGCTCATTACAGTGGCTCATTTCAAAGTTGAGTAGTTGCAACACGGACGGTATGACCTATAAAACCTAAAATATTTACTATCTGGCCTTTACAGAGAAAATTTGCTGATCTTCAGCCTAGGTGATAAAGTCTTTCTTTAGTAATATATCAACATGTTATATTCTCTAAGGGTTATTAGAGGTGAAACTTGTAAGCATATTTGATGAACTACCATGTTTTAGAACAATTACTTTATATTTGTTCTTGGCAGGAGATTTGATGAAGTCATAGACTTATCTGAGAATCAAAATTTTGAGCAGAAAGTATTTGAATACATTTAAATAAAAGCATCATGATCTCTTTATGCAGTGGTCATTTTGTATTTTATAACTGACTCACAGTATCTGCAAAAGTGAATGATGAAAATGTGAGCATTACCACTTTTCAGTTTTATCCATTCATGTTGATATCACTGAATCAAGTTCATGAAAATGGCTAAGACAACACGAAAAAGGATATTTATTCATTTTATCAAGAAAAAACATAGGTGCAACCTCTGAACATTTATGTTACTTGTATATATTAATGAATAATATATTCCTAAAAAGCGTATCTAGTGAATCCCTCTTTCATTGTCTCCTTTTTATTCTATGTCTTGATTCTATCACCTTTTATAAAAGAAGTTTGAGAAATTAATATCCTACTCTCTTTCGTTCTTCTGGTTCCCTTGACAGTTCGGTTCTATCACTGTGCATGTTGCCTCGGTCAGCAGACATACTTTCCATAATGAGACTCTCTTGATGAAGAAGGCAGTGTGTTGCTTTACATAATGGTGTAGAATTATCTCGCCAAATCCTTGTCACAGTTTGTGTACTGGCACTGACCTGTAGAGCACCTTTTGAGTATCACTGAATAAATGGTTAAAAAGATTGCTAGTTTTGTTGGAGCTTGTAGCCATCCCATATGATTGTACTTGTTAAATGCAAATAGCATTTTTATGATGATAAATCTTTAAGATAAGGAATATCTTATATTAACTAAAATTTTCTCTTTTGGTTTCACTGTTAGATAAGCTGTTTACCATTTAAATGATCATGAGCATTACTTGTGAGTTTCTTAAATTTAAGAAATTTTGTTATAAGTATTCTGAGCACAGGGGAAATCTTTTCAAACTACAGTTTATTTAAGTCTGTAGTTCTTAAGCTACACATGAGTCTCTATTCAGTATTTGATAAATGGACCATATAGGCTGTTGATTTAGTGACAACTCAATTCTCTTCATCCTGGAAATCGATTACATTATTTCATTAAGTTAAACCTTTTTTAACAGGTTAATTTAGGATCAGTTCTCTCCAAAGTCAGTGATTGTATCTCTACAGAAGTGTTTATTATATCTCTACACAAGTGTATCTACAGAAGTATCTCTCCATAGTGTTTATTCAAGACCCTTAGAAGATGACTAGGTTTAGTGATCTGTTTCCCACGTGGTTGTTAGAAATCCTACCTGAGCTCAATGCCTTCACCCCACACAGTATGGTATTCAGCCTCACAAAGTTCTTCAGTAAATAAAAACTACGTGACTAAAATAAGCAAAAAGTTGAGTTGTTCATTTTTAAAGGAAAGTTGGCTTCAGTGTAAACACTATCTCTTGAATGTGAATGGTATCTTAAAATTAACGTGAATTCCCCCCCAAATTATTTCAATTTAATATCAGTAGGAAAAAAAATGAGCAAGAATTAAAATTTTTTAAAAATTATAGCATCCTATCATTTGAAGAGAATACTTGATATTATAAAATCAGAAAATGGTATCTTGGTTGTACTATTTTTATAATAAACTACCACAACATAGAGGTATCTTTTTCTTCTGTCTATACAAATTAGCAGAAACTACTTGAGCCATAAAAATCAATATGGTCTTACATCCCTCAGACCTACAGATGCTGGTGCAGACCCTGTAGGAAGTACTAAAGACTACATTTCTTTTTAAGAATTGAAATGATCCTGGCAAGACAGATGGACCCTCTTCCAGGAAGTTTTTCCTAATGCTAACACATGCCCTTCCTCTCCTCTTTCTTTCTACCAGCCTGATTAATCACTGCTCTTATGTGCATTTCTGCATTTTTTCTGCATAGTCTTCCCCTCCAGACTACAAGGGCAAGAGCTTTACCTTCTTTATTTTTTTTTAAAGATTTTGTTTATTTGAGAAAGAGAGAGAAAGCATGAGAAGGTCAGAGGGAGAAGCAGACTCCCTGCTGAGCAGGGAGCCTAATGTGGGACTCGATCCCGGGACTCCAGAATCATGACCTGAGTGGAAGGCAGTTGCTTAACCAACTGAGCCACCCAAGTGCCCGAGCTTTACCTTATTTATTTTGTCCCTCTGAATGTGGTCCAGTGATGATAAGATGATATTCCTTTTAGAGATCTCATGGTTTAGGAACCAAAGAAGTAGAAACAGATACTGTAGAGGTAAAGAAGAAGATGATGAAATAGGACCTGATGCTTGAGCCAAATCTATATGAACACTGGGGAGCTCCTCTGTGGAAACACTGGGGAGAGGATATTTCAGGTAAAAGAATGGCATCCCCAGGATCTCTGGAAGCACAGTGAGAGTAGAGGCTGACCAGATAATGAAGGCCTTACAGACCTGGCTCAAGAATTTGTCTTTTGTTTTTGTTTTTGTTTTTCCTGAGGAGGGCAACTGGGCATAATTTAATACCTGTTTTAGATGGATCACCAGGCATTTTGGAAGCTAGATTTAAAAGCAGACTGAATTAAGGGCAGTGAGACCAGTTAGGAGGAAAAAAATGATTAGGACCCCAAATCAGGTTATAACAGTAGAGCTGTAGGAGAGGAGACATAGTAAGAGTCTCCCGAGTGGTTCTGAGGAGCTAAAATTGGCAAAGTGGGTGTTCTTATTGGAGGATGGGTTAAGGTAGGCATGGGGAAATGATGAACATGTTTTTGAGCAGAAGATGATAGCTCAGTAGTGGGCCTCCTGAATTAGAGACCTTTTTGTAACCTAAGATTCCTTGCCAACATATGAATGTATGGGAGAGAACCCAAGAAGGTTCTAGGTTATGAATACAGATTTGGAAGTCTTTGGAAAATGGGTATTGGTATATGAGTATGATCACTCAGGGAATCACATGCAAGTAGAGAATTAAACTAGGACCAGACCTGTATGAAAAAGCAGCATTTGCAAAGCAGAAACAAAAATTTGAGCTGGAGAAGTAGAGTGAGGGAGTGGCAGGCAGTCATAAGAGAATGATGCTATAAATCTCAAGATTGGAGAGAGGTAGAAATTGAGGACTCAACATAAGAAAGGTCAGACATAGGGACACCTGAGAGTCTCAGTCAGTTAAGCATCTGCATTTGGCTCAGGTCATGATCTTGGGGTCCTGGGATGGAATCCCTGGTTGAGCTCCTTGCTCAGCAGGGAGCCTGCTTCTGTCCGCCTGCCACTCCCCCTGCTTGTGCTCATTCTCTCCCTCTCTCTCTCTCTCTCTCTCTGACAAGTAAAAAAGTAAAATCTTGAAAAAAAGAAAGGTTAGACATCATATATTAGGGGAAAACATCAGACTTGAGAGGGTGGTTGAAGTTTACATGAAAGCATTACAAGCAGTACAGATACATCTTTCTTACTGTGAGATTTGGAAGGGGAAGAAGGAAAGTTGTAGTTGGCCTACATAGATTTTTTTTTTTTTTAATTCAGCTGTACTTTTGGTCTGGAGAGTTTAAAAATCTTCCTACTCAGCTATTTAAATTGATCAGTTAGAAAATACCTCTTTTCTAATATTAGTTTCCTTTATTTCCTAACTTTTTTATAGTTTCGAGAGCTCAAAGTAAAACATTTTTCATTTACTGTGTTTCATGTTTAACTTTTATGCCACAAGAAATATGTTGTCATCAGAGTATTCCATTTAGGTCCTATGGCTGATTAGACAAACTAACTATAAACAAGTAGACTAGCAGCTACCACTACCTGTAGTGAAGAATTATCTTGAAATACTCAGTGTTACCAGAGAAACTGGTTAAGGGAATACAAGTAGGAAATATTTTAGAAGGCATTTCCTGGCCTTTATTTCATGAGCATAATCATCTGTATAATGGTCAGCATATGATTCTACATTTAAGCGTGTGTCATGAGATGATTAAAGTAGTTATTGGTTCTTACTTTAGCTCCTATTGATAAATACATTCAAGAATGATGTCCATATATTTGTTCATTTCATATTGAAGTAACACATGCTCCATTTTTTTCTCTTTTTAGGGGAAAGAAACACTGATGACTCCCATTCCCTTTGCTAGACCACAGGATTTAGGGCCAACAATTGCTATTGTTACTAAAGTCAACCAGATCCAGGATCATCTACTGAAGAAGCATGATATTGAGCTTTATATGCACTTGAACAGACTAGAAATCGCACCACAGATATATGGGTTGTAAGTACTAAAGTTTAAGTTTCGGCTACATCTAATTATGACTTAATGGTGGTTTCTGTATGTCTCAGTTCCACAGAAGGAAGACTTTACATATTACTTTCACATACGATATTTCATCTAATACACCAATCCTGTTGAGTGTTGTATGTGGGAAGAAATTAAGGCTAACACTGCATTTAGACATATTAAATAGTGAAGTCTTAATTTGGATTCAGAAAAGATTGGTTCCATGATCTACAGAGCTCAGTGCAAAATAAAAATGAATGTCCCCTGTAAAAAAAAAAAAAAATAGCAAGAATTTCAAGATGACAGCAGCATATCATTAAGCCAAGCATTCTAAGAAGTACAGGGTCACACAGATCATACACACATGAAGCTAGCCGCAAACCTAAACAAACCTATAGAATATTCATGTGCTTTCCATTTTATTGGGAAGTGCTTTCTAAAAGTAAGATAAATGTTCCTCACAGTGAACATAATATGGTAATCATCTTCAGCCAATAACTTCTCTTAACATATATAGCAGAAGAATAGAGAGCCACTCCTCAGATATGTGTGTGTGTTTGTATGTATATTTATTCAGTGGCTTACTTTATAAGGTGGGTAGGAAAATTAGAAAGATGGCAGGTTTTTTTTCTTTTTTTATTATTATGTTACATTAATCACCATACATTACATCATTAGTTTTTGATGTAGCGTTCTATGATTCATTGTTTGCGTATAACACCCAGTGCTCCATGCAGTACGTGCCCTCTTTAATACCCATCACCAGGCTAAACCATCCCCCACGTCAGCCCCCTCCCCTCTAGAACCCTCAGTTTGTTTCTCAGAGTCCATA